GAATATAAAATAACTTCGCTATAGGCAAGGTTATTAATAGCGGTGATATGAAATTAGCAAGATAGTAAGCGGGCAAAGGAGGCGGCAAATAAATTCAGTTAGATAAGGTTTAATCATTATATTTGCTAGGTACGAAACTTTTAAAGAGATGTATTTAATATTAATAAAATACATTAAAATTAAATCATGTCTATTGTGCAAATAGTTATGAAAGGCATAGAGAACTCACCCCAGTACTAACAAGAGAAAGCATTATCCTTTCATTGAGGGCAAGAGTCTCACCGCCCTTCATTTTGATCCTCTTTTTATCAAGGCACTTCATTGCATACCTGAATAAATAAAGAATCAAGCAAGCGGAATAAAAACAATCAATTAGAAAAAATATGTAAAATAGCTGACATCTTGCCGGTATCAGCCTTTCGACATCCATAAACTTCACCAAATCCTCCACGACCAATGATTCTATGTACTCCAAAGTCATTAGTGGTGAGCTACGAGATAGCAAAAAATATAATCGACATACATTTATGTTGAGTTCAAGATTTTTCCATTGGCAAAACCGAGTGAATTTGAGACTATGGCAAGGATTAAAAGTATTCGCATACCTTCTCACAAATGAATCAAATATCTCACCACGAAGTGAATCCAATATTTCTTCAACGTATGGCTAAGAAGTTAAGCAAAATAAAATAAGACTTACACTGAACGTATCATTTGGTAGTCGTCTAATTCTTTGAGAAAGGGTCAAAAGTTCCTGGACATGGTCAATAGTCAGTTTTGAGAAAGACTGATAAAATTAGCAAAATAAAAACGCACATGAGTGTGAGATAAAAGCTCCTTCATAATAAATTGGTCATAGATTTCTCGCCCAAGTCTACAACGCTCCTCATCGGTTTCAAGTTTTTCAAATTTTTTTATCTAGGATATAAAAAATACTAAAAGTACCTCTTCATAGAAGATAATTTGAGGAATAGGCTTCTCACTCATTTGGCAAAATTCCTTAAATAACAGATAGCCTGACAATAAAGTCTAACTTAGGAACCATTACCAATACGCTGAGAAAAAATATTATCAAAGTTTAGCTCTCCGTTTTTTTCTATATGCTTCAACATGATGCTTCTAATGCTGCCAAAAAAAGTTGTTTAGGGGTAAATTTTTTTATAATTAGAAAAGAGCGCAAATAACCTAGGGTCGGGGAGAACAATCTTTTTACTATTACGAGAAGCAGGTGTGGACTTGCTCATCTCCATCGCCATCAGATAACTGACATCAGCCAAGACGGCTTC